GGTACCAAAATAATCTCATTTGTTTTTTGAATTTACAAAATGGGCTCAAATATGTCTAAAAATTTATCCGAATGTGTCGAAAACATGTACAAAAATTGAAATATGATTGTACTATTTAATACAAATAGAGTGGGCATTCCTTAAAATCATTAAGAAATTATTTAGATATATGTAAATAATATTGAGGATAAAAAAAAATTGAGAGTGAACATGTGCCCACACTAGTCATTGAATAGTGATTGGAAAATATTTTTTTAATATCATACTTTTATTTTTTGACTAATTAAAAATGTATCATGTGTATGATTTTTTTTATTTTATAATTAATAATTATAGATCATTTAATTTAAAATTGATGATTGAGATTAATAGAAGCAAGGTACCGACCTGTTTAGTGTTTTTTTTTAAACTTTTATAAAATAAAGAGTACCATTTAATCTAAATATATTTAAACATCTTAAAAAACTTTTAATCATTTTGAAACATCGATGAAAACAAGATGAAATATATTGAAATATTCTGAAATACATCAAAATATATTGAATCATTGAAATTGTAATTCGACCACTGATTTGTTTCAGTTTTCTTAAAAATGGTGACGTTTAGGTATTTTTGAAATAAAATTTTAATCCTGGCATATTTCATATTTCACCAAGGAGGCTAAATCTATGCTGCCCAAAAGGTTGCCAAAAAATATGTACCAAATGACGTGGAAATTATAGTTTAAGACACTTCAAGGTATAAAAAAATAGTTTGACGAGTCTGATTGTTAAATTTTAAAAATACGTAATATTAGACATCAATTTTATCATACAATGATTTTATCTGAAAAAATGTCAAAGCATTAAGATTGAGGAAACGAAATTTAAAACCTAATTTATAATATTGTCTAATCCCAAAAAATTAATAATATAAGATACAGACAACCTAGAATCAGACCAAAATCTTTTTTTAAGAAACAAAAAGGCAGAGAAGATCATATGAAGAAGAGAGAAAAAACTACTATTTAAAAAAGGGAGTCCGCTTTCATAAGATTAATCACAAGTAAGATGAACTGTCCAAAAAAAAAAAAGAAGCCCACAAACTTAAAAGTCAACTAGATATGTTTCGTATAAATTAGTTTGTAATTCCTACGTAGCAAAACTCATCTTCCAAACCGGTGGGCCCACCCATTTTGAACTGATGCACGCACTACGTGTCGTTGATTGCATGCCTGGCCCAGGTGGGCCCACCTGTTCGGTCTTGACCGAAACGTACAAATCGAATTGTACGAATTTTTTTAATATCTAGTCTGTAAGAATAAAAATTTATTTTTATTTTCATGAAAAATCTAATCCCCAATATATGATTAATTTTTCATTAATATTAGGTTGAATTATCCATTGTTAATTATCACCAATCGTATCCACCATCACCACAACCACTACCTCGTCTTTACCTCCATTGTCATCTCCACCTTACCTCAGTTGCGATAAAATTTTGAGTCTGAGATCCTGGGTTACGTCTGCATTTGAGTAAGATTTTAAGTCTTTGTCTTAATTAAAGAGAGTAGGTTCAACTTTCGGTTTAAGACTAATTTGGGTCCTAGCCTAGGTTCAGGTTAAGTTTCGAATCAAGCCTAAATTTATTGCGAGAATTAAGTTAAAGTTCAAGTTTTGAGTCATGTAAATTATTCTAGGATGAAAGTTTTGTTAGAAAAAAAAAATAGTTTTAAATAAATTTATTTTGAGCAATTTGAGACTTAAATAAAAATTGAACCCACACCTCAAAATTAGTGGGATTAAGGTTAAACGAGTTATCTATCGTAAGAAGATTAACATGGTATATTTATTTGTCTACAATTATTAAGATTTGAATGAAAAATTATATCTCAAAGTAACATATTTGAAGTGATGAAATAAACTAAAATTGGTGTAGTAAAATAAGATTTGTTCTACATCGGAAGAATACCAACACTTTGGTGAGTTAATATACTTTTAGTTGATGTCATGAGTTGGGCCTCAAGGAGTACTACACTTATGTAAGTAGAACGAGCGTCTATACTACTTTGGTTATTACACACACGCGCACATTATCCTCGCTCGCCACAACTGGGCTAGGCTTGGGTTTTTGTCAAAAAGAAATAATTTTTTTAAACAAAATTTATTTAGAGCGATGCGGGTCATGGGTCAAATCAATTGAATCCAAACGAGAATTAAAATTCCAACCGAAATTTAAATTTAAATCGAATTTTAAATTTCTTCTCATTATTTTCTTTGAACTTCGCTCCAAAAGAGTTCTAGGTTCTTTCCAAGATGTGTCTCTTGCCTGTTCAGATTAAAGAGTGTGTCTCTTTAATTTGAACAGTGACAACCCATACCTTTTTAGGCAATCAAAGCAGCCACCAAAGATTTATAAATAGACTATTCTTTTGTCATTTCAATACATTCCATTCTGAATTCCAGTTTTTGAATTTTTTCTCTCTACGTGCATATTGTTACACTATTATTTTGGTTCGATTTAAGTATAAACACAAGTTGTGTTTGATAGAATCTTTAAAGATTGAAATACTGCTTGTTCAAAAAGATAAAATTTATTCAATCTTGGGAGACAGTTACTCATTGACCTTAAGGACGGAGAGGGAACAAATCTGTATTAAGAAGATTGTGTTTCACAATACTTGGATTAAAATTGTGATTTTTCTTATTTATTGTTCGTGCTAATTTGCATCCATATGACTCTATTGATTTTGATTTCTACACATTTTATTTAAATTAGTGCATAAATTAAATTTTATACAATTTAATATAATCTAATCATATCCATATTTTCCATAACAAAGTTCACCCAAAAGAACTGGTGATTCAAGGGAAATGAGTCCTTTTGCATGGCCTAGTGTGATCTGAGTTTGACGTTGATGTAATTTATTTTCATACTCTTTATTTATATCCACTAGAAACAATAAAAAATTTATTTGAAAAACCAATTCGATTAATATAACTCAATCTAGCTTGTTTTTATCAAATTACACTGATGATATTTCGACATTGAAGTTTTCATCAAATTTGATAAATTTTAGCATTGAATTTTTTGTTAAATTTGAATTTTTTTATCAAATTTATTTAATAATTACTCAATTTTCACATACATATATATATTTTGATTTGATGTCAACCGCTCGTGGATTAGAATCACACATAAAAAACATAAATAATCACTTTATTTCTTAATTCTGAAACCTAAGATATCGAATTCAAATTTAAATTATTAATACAAAATATTAATTAATATTTAATTAATTAAATTTAAATCAAAAATTCCATTCATCGATAAACATAATGACAACAACAGAGTCGTCATACCTACCAAAGCAAACACATTAAATACCAGGACCCAAAAAAGTATAATTTAATCTCAAAAAAAATTACTATAAATATTGGTATTCTGGTCCCCTTCTCCTTCGCCCGGCCCCCCCCTCCACCCCCCCCCAAAAAAAAAAGAGGAGTCTTCCTCTAACAACCCAAGACCTGGTCAATGCCATTTAATGTACAAACGCATATGTATAAATGTGCCAAATACGTGGCACGTTCAAAGCCTACTTGTAAATGGAAACACCGTGTGATTGAAATTGTTCAGCTGTACCCTCCAAATTTGAACAAACAAATTACCATTTTGTATAAAGCTAAGTTAAAAATTTTGATCATTGAATAAGTAGTGGGTCTTAATAAATATTTAAATTTATAGTGAAAATAATAGTTAAAATTATCAAATTTAATTTTTAAATCTATTTTTTAAATCTATGTAGCATTACTTAATGTTCAAGCCCAATCAAAATCCAGCACGACAACTCTCCAAAACCTCAAAACGTGTATAGGATGATCTCCGCTACCAAACTTTAGTATAAAAGTGGAAGACGTACAGTATATCTCTATATTTCAAAAAATTACAACAAACCCCATAGTTTTTGAATTTACAATATACTCTCTTTGAGTGTGGTTTTTTTTATTAGGTTACTCTCTCTTGATTAGGGTTGTTAATTAAATTAAGTTGTTCAAGTTCGGTTCGAGTTCTATTTTTTTTTAAATAAGTTAAATTTAAATAATTTTTTAGATTTGTTTGAAAAATAAACCCAATAAGTTTGACTTGAATTTAACAAACTTAACTCGTTCATATACAAATACTCGGGTTTGGTTTAGATTTAGTTTGTTTACGGATCATTTAGGCTCGACTTGTTTAAAATCAAGTCGAACTTTAATAATTTTTAAGAATCAATTAAAATAATAAATTTTTTAGGTTGGACTCAAACTTATTTGACTATCAACCCTACTCTTGATCAATGATTGAATAACAAAATGCCCTCCATCTCTTGAGCTAGCGTAGGTTTGGGAGATTGAGATTTGTGGGTCGAATGAGAATTTGGGAATTTATGAAAGAGAAGTTAATTGGGGGGTTACAAAAAAGGAGTCCAAGTCGCTTAACAATATGTGATATTGCGTCTAGTTGATTGAATTATTCAAGAGAGATTCATTGGATCGTTTTGTTTTTGTGGGGGGAGGGGGGGAGATGATGGAGGAGAGAGAGTATATTCTCTCCAGTTGGCAACTTTTAGATCCATAGAATTTGCCAGTTTAACAAAAGAATAATGCAAGTGTACCCGATGGTTTGATCAATTATTTGTCTTTGTACTTTGTACTTATATGGCTTTGTTGTAATATCTCGCCGTTCCAACCTTATCAACAACCTAGTTGTACTCTCTCTCTCTCTCTCTCTCTCTCTCTCTCCATATGAACGCATAGAAATGTAGCTTTCTCTCTCATTCTATATTTTCTTCTTCCCATTAAATCGCGTGTCGACCATTTCAAGTGCCCCTCGCCTACTCTTCACCTTCCTCTCTCTTTGACTTGTATAACCCTCCCTCCTTTATAACCCCCACCATACCCATCTTCTTAGTTTCTCAGCCTACCCATCTTCACCACCCACCACCAGCTACACCGCCATTAAAGCTTCTCTCTCTCTCTCTCTCTCTCTCTCTCTCTCTCTTCAAGCGTTTCGACTGCTGCGAAGTGGAAGATAGGAAACTTTTCGAATGAAAATCTCATATTGTAACGGCAAAACCCAGCATGTCAAATATACCCACCTCTCTTTCTGAAAACTGTCTCACTCTCTTTCGCTTGGCCATGTACGTCGCTGACCCTTGGCCTTTTTCTTAGAACAAAGCTCTTCAAAACTCTCTCTCTCTAAAAGCAATTCTTCTGCATATTCTTCTTAATTAACCTCAGCCATGAAAAAGATCCGAGGGTTCTTGCTAAAACATCGGGTCACCACACTTTTCCCGTGCGTCTTCCGGCGAAACCGATCACCGTCGGTGTACCGCCGGTTGGACTCACTTCATATACGCAAGATCCGACCCATTTCCAAACTCTTCAACTGGGCTCACCGGTTAAGAACCAAAGCCAAAGCCATATGCTCCAAGAGTTCCTCTCCGGGTTTGGGCCGTGGTTACGTGCAGATCGGGCAAGACACCGTTGAAGACAAACACGTTCCCGTTCCCAAGGGTCACATGGCGGTGTATGTGGGACAGAAAGACGGTGACTTTGAGAGGATTATGGTCCCTGTGATATACTTCAATCATCCATTGTTTGGGGATTTGCTGAGGGAGGCTGAGGAGGAATATGGGTTCGATCATCCGGGTGGGATTACCATACCATGTCGGATCTCAGAGTTTGAGAGCGTCAAGACCAGGATTAAGGCGGGTCAAAATTCCCGAAAAATACTGACGTGGAATTAATACCATTTGCATTTAGATGGTTTTATTGATGATGACGACGAAAATGCACCATTAGTTGTGCTGATAGTGATATCTAGGTTTTTAATTAGCCAATTTTTATATATTTTCTTTCTTTTTTTTTTGGGTGATACCCTTCTATTGAGATTCACTAGATTTTTTGATTGCCTTAATAAATCATAGTTGTAAATATTTAGAGATTTTTTTCATCCACTCAATTACTTTTTTTTTTTAATAATTAGGAATGTTCAGATCAATTTACACATATTTCAATTAATTTTTTCTCAGATCTAATCAAAAACAGATCATTTACAATAAGATTAAGGTATTTATAAGAAATAAATTTTTTATAATCTAATTTCAAAAAATCATCAAGATTCAAATTTAAAACGTCTGAATTTATAATTTATTTTTATTATTAATTGAACTATACTTTAAAATTATTTTAAAATTCATCGTCGATGTAAATGTGGAGTAAATTAGACTTGTATTTTAACAATCTTTCTCGATTTATGTGTTTTTAGGGATTTTCAATGGAAAATGACAAATTTAGAAAATTCACCTTAAAAAAAAGACAAAATTACCAAATTTGCCGTCAATCAATGAGTCACCACAAGTGTCATTGTCATCAATGTTGGAAGAAATAGTAAGGAATCTATACAGCCACCATTTGATGTTCGTGTTGCGAGGCAGGCTGTGCTCACCTCCACTTGATGGGTGGATGAAACACCATAACATTTTACATAAAAAAAAAAAAAATCTACAAATGAGACGTATGAACAAAAATTTAATTTTTCTAAGAGTTAAGAGAAAGATAGTGAAACATTTTCTTCTCAGGCAACGATGATGCGACTTAACATAGATAAATTATAAATTTATACGTCTTAAGTTTAAATTTGATAACTCTAAAATTAAATCATAAAATATTTATCTCTCATAAATATTCTAGTTTTGACGTAAATGATTTGTCGTAAATTTATTCAAATACTCTTGATTATTAAACCAAAAAAAAGCTTCGAAAGAAATATGCAACTTGACCCTTCAACTACTTAGGTGCAAGTTAGAAGATAGGAGTAGCATATGCGAAAATGGAAATCTTATTTTGAATCAAAAATTTAAAAATAAAAAATAAAAAATTCTTCAAAGGAACTTCCTTGGAGCCATGTTATTATGATGTAGACAACATTTGGAAAACACATACAAATCACTAAAATTCACACTCAAAATGCGTGAATTTATATCTTTGTTTATATTCGATCAATGCATAAATTCTTGGAAGAAGAGGGAACGAGCCTATATGAAAAAAAAAGTTCAAGTAAATTCAACGACCAGATATAATCAACGGTACGACAAACAATAGTGTCTATACGTTAATTAATTTATAAAATCGACCCATCTCAATTTCACTAAAGGATTTGCAAATGAATGTTAGGCTAGGCCATCTCGAATGGCATGAGCCCAAACCTTGTCCTGCATTAACTGGCACACTTGTAAGGATTCATACACAATGTCCTATTTCTTCCATTGATTCATGAATAACTTCAATCTCTCACCAACAGTGCCTTCTTTCGAAGGCATTTTTAGGTAATAGAAAAATGGAGCACGAACATTGAAGGATCGTGTGATCGTAAAAAAAGACGAGAGATTTAAAATTCATTGCAAGTAATAAAAAGAAAAATCGTGATTTCAAGACTTGGTCTGAATTTCGATATGTTAGTAAACTGGAAGATTGTTAAAATGGGATGCTAGAAACAACATTTTATTTTGATTTTCAAAAAGTATTAATATAATTGTATTATGGATACATGTTACTTATTTGGTTGTTGTATTAAAAATAGATGAATTAAAAAAAGTAATTCAATCTAATAAAATACAAATTGACAAAAGACAATATTAAATAAGATATTAGAATAATACATAATTTTATATAGTATCTGACAATACACAACATTGTTATAGAAAATGTGTATATAATTAGACTATATTAAACTGTATAAAGTCTAATTTATGCACAAATTTAAATAGAATGTATAAAAATCAAAATCAATGCACTTACATTGACGCAAAACAACACAAATAATAAAATCTAGAAATCCAAAAATTCAATAATAAAAACAATAATCTAAACTCTGTGTAGTTACAGTTTTCTTTAGATAGATTTGCTTCCTCTCGATGCTTAAGCTTGATAATCAAGTATCTCTCAAGATAGGACATCTTTTGTTCTTAAAGATGCAACACTTCAATCTCTAAGACTTTAACAAACACAATTCTGTGTTTATAGTTGAATTGAACTTGAAATAATAGTGCAACAATATGTAGACAAAGAGAGAGAAGAAAGACTGAATACTTAATTCAGAATTTTGGATAACCGAGGGAACTAGAATAAGATAACAATTTTTGAATTGTTCAATGATATGTTTTGAGAGTGCAATAAATCACCTATTGATAAACGCACTAGTGGCTCTTTATAAATGGTGTAACCATATGTAATGGTAACTTTTAGTCCAAAGGGTATTAATGGTAATTTTTTTTAAAAAAATACAATCATTTGAAATATTATCTTTTAGTCTAAAAGATATCAATTATGATTTTATGAAAAGTTATGACTATTTATAATGGTATATGTTAATCAAAAGGAGTAAATGATAATTTTATGAAAAGATGTAACTATTTGAATTTGTGTATTTAACCAAAAGTCACCAATTTTGAAATAATAGTCTTTCATGTTATATTCACTTCACACATTTTCAATTGCTCCCAAAAGTTACTAAGATTTTAACAATTTCTTATTAAATACTTAATGATTTTTTTAAAAATAAATATATCATTATTTCTAACAATATAAACATTGAATAATAATTATTTAATCCAATCAATTGTTTGGTTAGATAATTATTTTATTGTATTAATGTTGAATTAATAAAAATATCCTCAATCAATGTTTATTATATTGATAACAACTTGATTTTATTAGTTGGAGGATTATAATAATAAATATGTAGAATAATACTTTTGAGTTAGAAAAATATCTCCATAATATATGTCTATCGTATAAAAAATATACAATAAATATATATTTTTGAAATTAATACGATATCAAATTTACTTATTAAATAAAATATTAGACTCGATTAAAAAAATAATATAATTTAATATTTAATTTCCTCATAATATATCTATCAAACGTGTCATGTAATATTCAATTTTCTATCGTAGTATTATCTTATACAGGTGTGGAGATAAGGATTGCAACTTGTGAGGACTGGACCATTGGCTTCAAAGTCCAATTGAGAATAATTACACGTTTGTAGAGCACAAAGTTGGATGTTACAAGTTGAAGTGTTACCGAAGGATTAGGTAAAAACGACGTCACTAATATGGTCTCAACTTCAAGGGTATTATAGGAGGGCTGATAATATGCTTAATCTAACCTCCAATTGTTGAGGAAGACTTCAGTGTTGACGACGGTATTGTACCAAAAATTAAAATTTTTAAGGGTAAGTTATAATTTTTTGAGAGAATTTTACATTGCACCCCAAAAGATTTAAACTTTCTCACTTTGTACCTTTAAAAATGAGATTTTTTATATTGTACCTTCAATGTATTAAAAGTATGGTAATGTGACTCTTCTGCTATTTTTTGTTATTTATTCTGTCAAAACCCACTCCATTAAAGTTGACGGAATAAGTAACAAAAACTAACAAAAAAATTACGTTGCAATATTTTTGATACATCGAGGGTGTAATGTGAATAATTTAATCATTAAGAGTGTAAAGTGAGAATTCTTAAATCTTTTAGAATGAAAAGTGAAATTTGCCCTAATTTTTTGGGGTATAAGTTATAATTATAATAAATATGATCATGATAAAAGTTAATAACATTTAAAGCTTAGGTTACAACTTCCAAAACTGAAGTTACACTTTTTAAAAATGAATTTATAATTAATTAATATTATTTGTGATCAATTAAAATATTTTATGATCGATTATAAATAATTTCAATTAGTTATAATTTTATCTTTAAAATAAATAACTTGACATTTAAAATTATAATTTTTGATAAAATATTAATTTTTTTTTCTTTTGCTACCGTAGCACTATCCTTGATTGTCACTCTTAATAAAGTTGAATTATGATTAAATTAAACAGTCGCTCCTTTTTAATGGGTCAGTACAAATCAATTACATTCAATACGAACACGATTGAACACAAACATCCGCGATAATATATTATTTAACGATGAAAATAGAAAAAATGACTTAATTGAGGTAAAATTGGTAGTAAAGAGATTAGATTAGGATTATTGAAAGTTTAGAGACCAAATTAAAATCAAAGACAAAATTGAGGGACTAACTATTATTTTTACCCTCAAAATTATTATGAAGTAGATTGAAGTCACAAACTAATTTGGTGATATTATAATAAAATGTGGTTGTTTGAAACCAATTACAATATTTTAGACCCGATCCCAATATATATTTTTTTTATTGTAACTTGTCAAAAATTATAATTTATTAAGATTAAGTTATAATGTTTTTTAAGTGTAAGTTATAACTTGTAAAAAATATGATCGATTGTAAAAATTATAACTTTTAAAGGTCAAGTTACAATTTATAAAACAGTAGTTACAACCGATCGATCATAGGCTTTCTTTGATTAATTGTGACTGCTTTTTTCAAAGATATAATTTTCAAAATGATATCTTTTTTTTTTTTTCCCATTACCGTAGACTTTGCCCCTTACCTCTTAGTCCGATGGGACGTCTATGCATAGCATTGTTCCATGGAACATGGAAGAATGAACTTACAACCAATATGTGCATGTGGTGACCAATTCAACCCTCACTGGTTCAATAATGGAGCTAGAAACTTTAAAGACGAAGAGGAATACAAAATATTAATGTATAAATTAAATATTAATTTTTGCGATTTAGAAGGCAATGGCCCTTGTAGCCTCAATGCAACCCCGCCCCTGTTTAATGCTAAGTTAAAATAAAAACAATAAGATGAAGAAGTTGATGGTGTGTGAAATGTGATTGAGCAGTCTTTGTATACTGCTGGGTTTGATCTGAGCTATAAGGCTCTTGGAAATAATGGTGCAATTCAGGAATAAGGGATGATTTACACGGAAGAATTATAGTAGTTTACCAGCTCAGGAGCTCAGCTAATCTACTTTTCAATAGAATCTCTTACTACTAAAAATTGTATTGAAGATGACCCAGGAAATACACAATCTTTTTAGTACTATGCTGGTTCCCTTGCATCGAAGTGAGGACATTATATAGTATTTATAGCATAGTTCTTAATTCTATAGGGTCTGCGCCGAGATCTTTGCCTTCCTTTAGGAATATCTCGCTTGATTTTTGAGAAACGGTTTAGACAGTTGAAGATCTTGCGCCTAAATTGGCGTTTACTGCCGTTGAGGGGGCGTTCTATGGTTGTCAGCTTGTCTTCCACTCAATTTCTTCTTGGTGCAGGTGAAGGGAGCCCTAGGTCTGGACCTCTAAACTCAAGCTCTCTTAGTTGAGCTCTCTTCCTGACCTTAACTCTTGAGCTCAAATTTAGAATTTCTTCTGCGTATCATCATAAGTAAATGATTGTTATGTTGTTTAACAATTTGAAATTCAATCTGAATATCTTAATTTTAACAAATTTTACATAAAATTTAACTATATTTTTTTTAAATAATTACTTAATTTCTTTAGTTTTTATATAAAAAATATATAAATAATTCGGATTCAAATCCGTGAAAAAAAAGATATTGAATTTGAATTCAGGTTTGAGTTCGAATTATTGATAAAAAATATCAATTCATATCTGACTAAATTGGAATCAAAATTTGGTTCATTGATAGCCCAACAATGATTGCTTATTTGAAAATTATTATTATTATACCTCTTAAAACATCAAAGGTTTTTGATGAAATAAAAATGTTAGATGTAAAAGTTATCGTTTGCTAACCTTGTTTTAAGTTTTTTTTTTTGCTTTTTAATGGACTTTTTAAGTAGTGTTTATTTTTACATATTTGTATTTTGTTGTTTTTTTCTTGTCCCGGCTTCCTCCATCCTTTCAATTTTAGTCACGTGTATAGTATGCAAATATACAAATGGATGCCAAAAATCTTATAGGTCTACCACTTTTATAGCATAGTAATCAAATACATTTAAAGTTAGGATTTTAAACCTTACAAGTCTACTAAATATTTTCAGCCGTTTATTTAAATTTGATCCGAACCCAAATTCGTTTAAATGGATATAGACCAATATTTTCATTTGTTTATCTGAATATGATCCGAACCCATTTAGATATGATAAATCAGATATAGATATAGATATAGATATATAAAAATTCTTGAATCGGATGTCTGAATTATATGCAAATTCGAGTATGAATTAATATAATTCTATCCATCGGGTAAAGGGATTGAATATGATAACAAATTTTTNAATCTAATATATATATAGAATATACAAATTTATTGATTATTTATATTTGATATTAAAAAAAAAAATTATTTGTTGAAATTTTGGTGAAATATCATTATGAATCGGATCAGCTAATTGAATCGGATGTCTGAATTATATGCAAATTCGAGTATGAAATAATATAATTCTATCCATCGGGTAAAGGGATTGAATATGATAACAAATTTTTTAAAGNTTGAATCGGATGTCTGAATTATATGCAAATTCGAGTATGAATTAATATAATTCTATCCATCGGGTAAAGGGATTGAATATGATAACAAATTTTTTAAAGAGATTTGGATGGATCCGAATTTGATCCGTTGCAACGCCTAATTTCAGTCACAGTTATATTTGGGGCTAACAAGTAGTTTTTTTGGGCCAGTTAAAATGTTGTTACCACTTCCATTCGGATCTAGATTTTTTCAATTACTTTTTTACACAATTTCATTTAATAGTACATCACTCACTGTGTATGGATTAAACTATATTTCAACCAATTATCATAATACATCCATAATCGATAGTTTCAAATCATAGAGTCGAATTTAAGATCTCGAACTTTTTATTGATTTTATGGCTTCCTATCTACCTGGGTTTTGGTATATTGCTGCTTTCATTGGTGGTGGTAGGCAAGTAGCAACTCTTCTGGATCTATATAACTCTTTAATGTAATTATGCTTACAAGAACAAATTGAACCATTTGCAGTAGGAATTAGATGCTTTTATAGATACACCCTTGCCTCGAATATATTCGAACCCACTAAATTGTTATTGTTGCAATCACTCTATAGTGTTATAATCCAAATGGTATAGTTTTTTTCTCATCCAAACTTGATTTTGTAAGAAAATAAAACAGAATATGATCAAATTATAAACGAAGTTATAAGTAACCCAAGTCCAAACACTATAATACTTGGCTCGGTAGACTTGAGCTCTTGTTGTTGCTAATGCCATATGTAATTTGTGCCCAAAAAATGACGAAATAGTATCTCTCCCTCCAAATTGAACTATTACGAATTCAAGTATCATTGGAAATGAGCTTTTTTTTAGAAAAAATAAAAAAATTTACTCAGAGTCTTAGCTTGAGTTCGAGTTTGTAATTAAAAAACAAGCCTAGTCGAGCTAAACGTAAGAGGAAAAATCTAAACCCCATATCTAAAATCTAGCTAGAGTTGAGCTTAAGCTTGTGATAGTCAATTCGACAGAGTTTCTAGTCTTTCTTTGAAAGTAAAGTTGTTTGTTAATTTTTATGACTAAAGGTACTGAAAAAAGAAAAAAACTTGTGGACAAGATGATCTACTTAGAGAATCTACAAGTAGGTCCATGAAGACTGCATAAAAAAACCCCCCAAAAGCAACCACTCTCATTCATTCTTTCTCACACCAAGAAGCCAATGCATCAAAACAAAAATCAAATAAGAGAGGAACATGACACATTGGAAAAGAACAAGAAACAAGAAATGTTGAGAAGCCTTCACCAACACTCTACTCACTGCCCCATCTTACCTCTACTGAGACTCTCTTCTCTCCTCTTTCTCTTCTCTCTCCTCACTAACCATGGCCACCTTGTCAAAGCTCACATCTTCATGTATGCAGGCTGTTCTCGAGAAAAATACCAACTCAATTCACCCTTTGAAACCAACCTCAACTCTTTACTATCTTCAGTTATTAGCTATTCATCTCAGGCCTTATATAACAGCTTTGCTCCTGGAAATGATAGTTCTACATCCCCGCAAAGCGCGGTTTTTGGTTTATATCAGTGTAGAGGTGATCTAAAGGCAATTGACTGTTCCAGATGCATTTCAAGTGCTGTTAGCCAAATTGGGTTGGTGTGTCCTTACACATATGGGGCTAGTCTGCAATTAGATGGTTGTTTTGTGAGATTTGAGCACACAGATTTTCTGGGAAAACTGGACACAAGTCTTAGATACAGAAAGTGCAGTAGAAGTGTGAGTAATGATGTGGAGTTTTTTCGGCGAAGAGACGATGTTCTCGCTGATTTGCAGGGTGCAATAGGGTTTAGGGTTAGTTCTTCAGGTTTGATTGAAGGTGTTGCACAGTGTTTGGGGGATTTGAGTGCAGTGGATTGCTCTTCTTGTCTTTCTGAGGCTCTTGTGAAGTTGAAGAGTTTGTGTGGATCTGCTGAGGCATCGGACGTGTTCTTGGCGCAGTGTTATGCTCGGTACTGGGCATCTGGCTACTATGATGCTTCTTCTGGTAATACTCATCTTTTTCCGCTTAAAGTTTCCACCAAAATCACAATTTTTACCTCTCCACTACAAGAATTAGGACATTATGGGACAAGTCTTTTGGGACATTTGTGTTTACCGTCACAAAAAAAACATATTTTGAAGGAAGAAAAAATTCGTGACAATAATACTGTCACAACAGAGTTATTTGGTGTCGCAAATATTATTTGTGATGACTCGTCGCCGTTATAAAGACTTTTTGAAATTTCACGTATATTGACAATTAATGCCACCATAATAAGTGGAGTCTCAAAAACAATGGTCCGTCTCAAATATTATTAGAGATAACAAATAAATCTTTTGTGACCGTGAACACAATTGCCACAAAAAATTTGTATCAAAAGACCTTAATTCTTATAAGAGTAATGTCTATCCTTGCCAATTTTGCTAGTGTTAGCCTGACTCGCCAAGTCGATACAAAATATATACAGATTTTTCGGATATACAATCAATCTAAATGGGTTGGATTATAATAGGTTGACTGACCGAATTCATTTACTAAATGGATTGATATGACTAGAGTTATGTATGATTATAATGGTTAGTGTAAGCACTACTTGTTAAACTGATACAAAAATATATCAGGTATACAATCAATCTAAATGGGTTGTATTATAATTGGGTTGATTGACCAAATTCATTTAGTAAATGGGTTGATATGACTACAGTTATGTGTGATTATGCTTGAACAATTTATAACAAATACAAATACTCATTACTACTATATATTAATAAGTCCGATTTAAGTTAAATTGGCAAATAAGATAGGCCAAGATCCGAACTTGACGTCCCATGAAATCTATGTTCATCTTTGTTCAAGGCAGGACACATTTGACCCCAATGTTATAGTGGCTCTAGCTAATGTTGCCAGTGGTCTAAGACTATCGAATGAGGACTACCTACAAGGGCACCAACAACAACCCAGCCCGAAGGATAAAGTCTAAGGCCAGTGAACAGATAAAGATGTGAACTTCATTCTTTTTTAGCATTTTGACCACTTTAGTTTACTGGAGAAAGAAAAAGAACCCACCCTAAAAATATTCAAACCCAAGGGGTCAAGAGCTAATTCTTTTATAAAGCATAAAGCCTTCTTGTTGGGGGGGGGGATGCTACTTTAATTAATGCTTCCGTTTGGTCACATAAGGTCTTGTCATTTCTCCCTTCCATTTTTAATCTTCTCATTTCTTTTTCCCTACTTATGCTTTGCTTTGTTGTAAGTTACCTTTGATGTTTGGCGGAGGTCTTAATTTGGTTTTGTGGTTGCCAGTCCGAGACCAAACGAAGGGTTATAGTAAAACTTAAATTTTAAATGGATAAAATTGAACCTAAAAACATTATTTAGCTCTTGTTTTTGATAAATGTATTTGGTTAATACGACATTTTCCCTCAACAAACTACAAAATAAATAGAGAGAAAACTTTGAATAGGGCTGTTTATCCAAGCCAACGGGTAGGAATTTTTGAATTCCATGTTATGAGTCGATGAGTAACAAAAAACTATTTCTTTGGTCAACCTTACCCGGAGGATAATATTCCGAGCCGAATTTCGTCCAAAAAATTGGCTTGGAAGGTCCGGTAAGAATGCAGAATGCCTCACAAATTTTTAAACTTTAAGTTATTAATTTTTGTGTCATTTTAACAACTCAATTACCAAATTTTTGGTCTATTTTTATAACTAGATTGTTAAAATATAATATAAAAATATGTAAACTAACACAATAAACTAATAAAACTAAAAAAAACACAATAAATCTGATTAATATGCTCTCGAATACTCTAAAACAACAAAAATAAAACACAATCATAAGTAATATACTTCCTAAACGATATTGTTTTATGACGAATACAATAACATCATTTTATAACACACATTAATTTTTAATAAAGTTAAATATACATGCGAGTCAGGTATGAATGCAAAAATTTTATGGATATTCTTTATTTCTATCCGATATTTGTGAAATACTAAAAAACTTTCCATTAGTCGGTCAAAAAAATACGAAAATCGAATTATCAGATTGGGTAAGGTCGAAATATTCTGGAATGAATTGGGTGGGCAGAACTTTGAACACCCCTAAATTGCGTTGGATCACGTTATTTTATAATCATTAAATCTGTCAAAAATCCATTTTAAAGTTGGGTTGTAGTGCTTCCATTATAAGATTCACGATTTGCTTTAAAGTTGCGTTTGATGGACTAGAGAGATGTACTAAAAGAAAAGAAAAGCATAGTGTCCCACGGTTAGGGTTGTTAATCGTATCAGGTTAAGCGGTTACGTATCGAGTTAAACGACTGATGAGTAAAAAATATATAAATTCATACACGACATGTTTAATAAACGGGTAAAAAATCTCAATACGAATATGACTCGTTTAATAAACATGTAACACAACACACTTCTTTTAACCCATTTAATTTTAAAAAAATTATATCAACAAATTTTAATATTCTATTTTTTTTTATTACTAATTGCACTTATCTCAAAAAAGAAGAATTTGCAATCAAATCTCATAAAATAAGACTCGAAGGTTTTTTTAAAAAAAAACAAAAGGCTATTGCCTTTTATAGGCAACTCACCCTTCTCATCTCCCCTCATTTTCTAATGTGGGACAAAAATAAAAGATATTGGTTTGTCTTTGTCTTTCAAGTGTTTTACAACTCCTCTCCTTGTCTTTGAAAAATAATACAACTCCTCTCATTGTCTTTGAAAAATAAGACTTGAAGGCTTTAAAAATAAAAGCAAGAAGTCATTGTCTTTTATAGGCAACTCAACCATCTCCATCTCCTCTCATTTTACAATGTGAGACAAAAACAAAAGACATTTGTTTGCCTTTGTCTTTAAAGTGCTCTCCAACTTTTCTCCTTTGTCTTTGAACTACTACTTTACTTTTTTTTTTTATTGATTTCTTTACTTATTTTTTCTTGCTAATTTTTTAAAATAATTATTAATTTATTATTATATTAATTTTATTTAAACGGGTAAACGTGTGTGATAAACGGTTTGACAGGTTTAACCCGAAAACGACTCGTTTATTAAACGTGTTTGGCGTGTCAACCCATTTATCACCCAAACCCGTTAAGATTTCATTCAAACCCGTTTAATTCGTATCGATTCGTATCGGTTAATCGTGTCGTGTTGAATTTTGACAGCCCTACCCACACGGTAATCATGTCAACCCCCATATAGTTGCAAGAAAGCAGAAACTCTTTAAATTATTGTAGTTCATTTTCTGCAATCTTTGGTAAAGACCCTTTATAATCAATAAGTAATTAAAACTAAAAAGGATGAAAACAAAGATTTAAGGACAAATAAATGGGAGTGACAACCTTGTTTAATGTCTTGTCTATGTTTAGGAAAAGTCTATGGTATTAATCCGATACCTGCTACAGAAGGTTACAATCCAATAAGGTCTATAAAATATTATCAACGAGATTGAAAATTTTGGGATTGATTAAAAAATATTAAGATTAGTCCCAATTTTTTTAATTAATCCTAAATAGACCCTCCTTGGCTTGTAATTTAATGTAGTATAGTTGTTATTGATTGTAAGTTTCTCTATTATGCAAAATCGTTCAATTTATGTATACCATAGTAATATTTGTTAATGCTCTTGCTATTGTTGTTGATATAGATTCCTCCGACAAGGATGAAGTAGGAAAAACAGTAGCCATAATCGTCGGCGTAGTGGCAGGCGTCGCAGTGGTGATAGTTCTTCTCTCATTTTGCAGAAAAGCAGCAGGTGAGGTCCTACTCTCCCTAATTTTTGTTTTATTTTTTGAGCATTTTATTATCAACCATAGGATAACACTACGATGTCGAGTTTGGCACCATATGTCAATTTACAAAAAAGAAAGAATTAATTACAACTCATTCTAAATATATAAGATACAATTCAATTAATGCTTTGTTTGGTACAATAGAAAATGGAAAGATGAAAATTTTGAAGAATGAAAAATTGAATGCATAGAAAAAACATCATGTTTGCTAAGGAAGAAAAATATGAATGATGGAAAAATGGATAGATTAGTTTTTTTTCTAACTCATCACAATCAATTTTTTCAAAATTGAGAGAAAAAATGGATAAAAAGTTAATTATGTGTATTAAAATGTATGTTATTTACCTATATATTATTTAATATGTCTATATCATATTTATTTATTATATATTATGTATATGTTAACTTTATATATAAATATAATGATAAAATATGTATATATATATTTTTTTCTTTATCAATACTTTCTATTTTTTATTCCTTCTGCTAAACATTGAAATACAAATGAAGGAATAAATCATTCATCTATTAAAAGATAAAAAATAAATCCTTTCTTTTTTTCATCCACCCAACCAAATACATCATAAATAAGGTCAAGTTATAACTCAAAAGAGATCGATATTGGCCCAAGTGTTGCGATGAATTCCAAACATCATATTTGGTAATAATATCATGAGATTGAGGTATAATCTTGTCCTTATAATAATGTAATGGTATTGTAGTATTTTCTTCATCCTTATCATAATAATAATGATGATGAAGGGTCATCATGGATGCAGGTTGAGGGGAAGGAGAAGGGTGGTTTTCACTAAAGAATTGGAGGGAGGAGGCCATTGCAAAAAGGACCCATATGTTTGTTTTGATATTGTTATCCAACTTTCTCTTCCCCCTTTATCTAGTTTAATCCCATTCGTATTGCACAAAAGGTGGTTTTTTAATTTGCACTATGGCATACCCTTAT